GTGGGGCGCATGTCGCGCAGCTCAGAGGCGCGGCTGATCGAGTGCAAGTGCACGCCGAGCGCGACGACCAGGCTGGAGCCCATTCGCGGGGCGGCAGTGCGCTGGCGGTCCTCGGTGGCTGCTCTGCTCTCCAGGGTCGGCAAACTTCGGCGCCGCAGCAAGCAGGCCACTGATGATGATCGGCGGCTGCTTGCTGAGGCTGGGCGGGAGCTTCGCGATCGCGCCCCTGCCAAAGCCCGTCGCTGTTTCCTGACTGGCCGTGCTGGCACGCGCCGAGGGGCTCGGCCCCAGCGGCTGCAGCAGCGGCGACCTGCGCCGCGGCAGTCCCAGCAGCAGGCTTCAGCTCGCCCCCCTCCGCCCGTGCACCTCAGCGGGCGTCGCCCACCAGGAGAGGACGGCGAGACCGTGTCACCCTCTGGAGGCGAGAGCGGGGGCGAGCAGAGGAGTTTCAAGGCGTTGGTTGTGAGCTTGGGTGACGCGCACGCCATCTCGGGCAGCAGCTTGGCGGCCTTCGAGGAGGCGGCCCTTGCAGCTGCAGCGCGTGCCAGGCAGTCGGCGGTCCACGAGTCCCTGCGGCAGCTTCGGCAGTGGATCAGCACGGAGGAGGACACGCCGTTGGTCTTCCGCTCCCTGCGGGGGCGGCACTTGGCAGCAGACGAGGTCCTGGTGGGCAGCAGCATCCTGGTGCACCCCAGCGCGATCCTCGACCACAAGGCGACCTCGTGGGAGAAGCTGTGGTCGCCCCATCCCGTCAGGCGCGAGGAGGTTCTCGACTTGCTCGAGGGCCTCCGCGAGCAGGTGCAGTACGAGGAGCTGGACCGCATTACGGTGGCCGACATCCGCAATGCCCTCCAGCGCATGCGGCCCCAGACTGGCAAGGGCGTGGACCAGTTCACGGTGCTGGACTTGGCGAGGCTGCCCGACCCTGCGCTGCAGGAGTTGGCTGACCTCTTCACCTCTGCAGAGCGGGCTGCCTGCTGGCCCAAGCAGCTCCTCTTGGTGTTGGGCCACGTCCTCGAGAAGAAGGGCGGCGGCGAGCGCATCATCGGGGTCCTCAGCATGGTCACGCGCTGCTGGAGCATGATCCGCGAGGAGAGCATGCGTGACTGGGCGAGGCGCACGGCCCCAGCCTGGGGCGCCGCCGTCGCGGGCAACCCGGCGCTCCGCGAAGCCTTCGCTCGCGCCGTGAGCGAGGAGGCCTTCGCCGCCATGGGCGTCTCGCACGGCCACGGCCTGATCGACGTCCAGAAGTTCTACGACAGCATGCCATGGACGGGGCTCGCTCTGGCGGCGCTCCGTTGCGGGTTTCCGCCCGCAGTACTGGCGCTGGAGCTGCAGCAGTGCATGGCGGGCAGGGTACTCCTGCAGGACGGCATGGCCTCCCGTCTCGTGGTCCCGTCTCAGTCGGTGGTGCAGGGCGTCAGGTCGGGCACGAGGTTCGGACGATGCATGACGTACCATACGCTGCAGCAGATGGCCTTAGGGTCGCCCCAGCTCCTGCCCTCGCGGATCTGGGTAGACGACCTTTCGGTGTCCTCCGTTGGCACGCGCCAGTCCGTCGTCGACGCCGTCTCGAAGGGCATCATCGACTTCGGCTCGGGCATGCAGAAGGTTGGTTTGCAGATTTCCCCCAAGAGCGTCGTCGTCTGCTCGCAGCTGGAGGACGCACGGCGCATTGCCCAGGTCGTCAAGCAGCACGGCCTCGCCGTCCAGGCGGCGAGCCACGGCGCCTGCCTCGGCGTCGACCATACAGCGGGCCGCCGTCCAGCTCGCCGCACGGTCAACAAGCGCATGGGCAAGTCTCGCATCGCGAATGGCCGTCTGCGAGGCATGGCCCGCGCCTCTCGGCAGTACCAGAAGTGCGGGTTCGTCGAGAGGGTCGGGCTGCAAGCGGCGGCAACCTACGGGCACGAGATCTTCGGCGTCTTCGGCAGCAGGCTTGCGGAGCTCCGCCGAAGGCTTGCTTCAGTCCCAGGTGCTTCTAGGCGAGGACGCTGCCTCACCACGCAGTTGGCCCTTCGCGCGGGCCCCCTCGACCCTGCCAGGCGCCTGCCTCGCGCCCTGGTCAAGTGCTGGTTCGAGGTCTGGAGGAGCAGCCAGGAGTTGAGGAGGCGAGTGGCGCGGGCCTGGATCCCGATCCACAGTCGGCTCCGCGAGGTGGAGCCCGAGCGCAGGTCGAGACTGGTGCGAGGCCCTGTTTCCGCCCTCCAGGCCCTCCTCCTGCAGCACGGCTGGGTGCCCGTCGGCCCGATGGGCTGGGGGCGCGGCCTGCAGGACGGCTCTCGAGAGCGGTGGGCCTTCCCCGACGTGGCCAGCATCACGGACGGCTCCTGCAAGGCCGTCCTCGACGCACTCGACGACTCCATCCAGGAGGACTTGTGGCAGCGCGCTGCCACGCACTGGCGCGGCGCGGGCCTGGAGGCAGGCGCCGACCTTCGTTCCCTTCAGGCCCACCTGCAGCGGCTCAGGCGTCTTCCTGGAGGACCTGCGCTCGAGGAGCTACTCGCCACCATCGCGGTGGGTGGAGCCTGGCCGAGGTCGCGCAAGAAGGAGACCTTCGGCGACATGGAGTGCGCCAGCTGCCCACGATGCGGTGGCGAGGAGGAGGCGCCCTTCCATCGGTTCTGGAGTTGTCCCTGCAACGCCGGCAGCAAGGCCTACGACGACAGCAGCGAGCTCCTGCCCCGCGCTGCCGCGGACCAGGGGGCGCACGCGGCCTTCTGGCTCCGCGGCATCATCCCACGCAGCTGGACTGAGGTCGCCGCCCCTCGCGACCACGACCTCTGGACGCTCTTGGACGGCCAGCAGGCCGTCGCTCTGGCCCCTGGTGCTTTGGGGCAGGGCACCGAGGAAGCCCCGCTCGTCCTCTTCGGCGACGCCAGCGGAGGGCCAGAGGGGCAGGACCCTCATCTCCGTCGCGTGGGCCTGGCAGTTGCTCGAGTCCACCTGGTCGATGGAGGTCTCGAGCAGGCAGCGTGGGGCGGCCTCAGCGGCAGCGCGCAGACCGTCCATCGAGGAGAGCTGCGGGCGCTCGTGCTCGCCGCGCAAGGCCCCCTCGGCCCCACGGTTTACATCTCGGACAATCTGGCCGTCTGCGAGGGCTGGTGGAGGCGTCGCGACCTGCAGCCGCACGGCGACGACAGCGACCTGTGGGGCCTCCTCGCGCAGACTTTCCGCAGCAGGAGCAGGCCCAGATCGGACTTCGTCGCGGAGCACGTGCACTCGCACCTGGAGATGGCCGAGGCTTTCAGGATGCGGATCCCCCCCTGGCTGGTCGTCGGCAGCGCGGTTGCCGACACCTTGGCTGGCGCAGCGGCGGATGCTGTTCGCGTCGCTGCCCCTGAGCGTGTTCGTGTCCACCAGACGGAGCACATGGCCACGCTGGTCAGGAGGAGGTTGCTGCGAGCCACCCTCGACGCCATCGAAGCGGAGAACGGCCTGGATCCTTCAGTGCGGCGAGCCAGGAGGCGGAGGCGTGCTCCCCCTGCAGCTCGCCTGGTCGCTGCCTTCAGCACGTCCCATGTGCTGGACAGCCACGGCAGCTGCACGAGGTGCAGGTGCTCTTCGTCACGGTCAGCCCGATCGCAGTGGCTGGAGGCGCGGTGCCATGGTTTGCAGCGCGATGGGGCCCACGCGCTCAAGCTGGCCGATGACGACGTGCACATCGGCGGCGGCCGCCCGCACTCCTCGCATGTGATGCGGCTGCACCAGAGCTTCGACGTTTGGTTCTGCCTGAGGTGCGGGTTCTTCACGGCGGCCGCTGGCCGCCTGCTGGGGCGAGGTCTCCGCTCGTGCTGTCCTGTGAACCCCTCGAGGACTGGGCGGGACTACCTCCAGCGGATCGCCCGCGGCCTTTGGCCGAAGGCCGCTGGGCGACGCCGGCTTGCCCGCGCTGGGGAGGGCATCCTGCTCGGCCCCAAGAAGCAGGCCGCTCGCCGCCGTGCCGCGCGTGCTGTCGCTGCGCGTGCTGCAGCCGCCTCGGGGCAGGCGGTCCAGCCCTTGCCGAGGGAGCTGGCGGCCCTGGGCGCTGCTCCTGCCCCCTCCGACGTCGACGACCCCCTCGCGCTGGACTGCGGCACGGCAGACCCGAGGAGGCCAGTCCCGCTGGGAGCGGCCTCCTCGGGTCCAACGACTTCCACTGACAGTTGGCCGCAGCCTGTGATAAATTGCGGCAGACACGAGGATGATGCGGCGGAGACCGCCACGAGTGGGGAGCCTGCATCGGGCCCCCACTCTCCCTGTCCTGCTGGGGATCGTGCTGAAGCTCCTCTTCGTGGTGACGGTGTTTCTCGAGCTGGCCCTCCCTTGGCAGGGGCCCCAGTCAAGAAGTTGAAGGCGTTCGACGAGAAGGTCCGCTGGCTGCTCGACGCGGCCCGCGGCAAGCGCCTCAGCTCCGACCTGGACGTGACCGAGGCCCGAGTCGAGAGCACTCCTCGGGCCACTGGAGACAGCTGCGCTGGGAAGCGCAGGCGGCTGGGCCACCCTGCGGCCGCCCTGGCCCGCCCCCGCCTCGCCGCGGAGGGAGCCGCCGACGGAGCTCCACCCGCCAAGCGGCCGCGGGCCGACGCCGTGGCCAGCGGGCCCGAGGCGGAGCGGGCCGCTGTGCTGCTCTGAGGCCGCTGGCCCTCCGCCGCCTTCGGCAGCGGCCCCGCGGCCTCGGAGCCGCAACCGAGTCGCGCGCGCCTCGACGCGCGCGTCCTCGGAGCGCCCTCAACCTCAACCTCCTCCTCCTCCTCCTCCTCCCTCCTCCTCCTCCTCCTCCGCCTCCTCCTCCTCCTCCTCCTGATATCCCTCCTGCTCCTCTTCCCTCCTCCTCCTCCTCTTCGCTCCTCCTCTTATCCCTCCTCATCCTCCCCATCCGCATCCGCATCCGCATCCGCATCCCTCCTCCTCCTCCTCCTCCTCCTCCTCCCTCCTCCTCCTCCTCCTCCTCCTCTTTCTCCTCCTCCTCCTGCTATTCCTCCTCATCCCTCCTCTTCCTTCTTCTTCTCATCCGCGAGGAAGCGGCGGAGGCCGCCCTGCCTGTGGCCGAGAGCGAGGAGGGGGGGAAGGGCGGGCCCAAGAAGGCCAAGGCCAAGGCCAAGGCGAAGGCTCCCGCGCGCTGCAAGAAGGAGAAGAAGGCCTCGCCCAAGGCCTCGGGAGGAGGAGGAGGAGGAGGAGGAGGAGGAGCAGCAGCAGCAGCAGCAGGAGCAGGAGGAGGGGGGAAGAGGAGGAGGAGGAAGAGGAGGAGGAGGAGGAGGAGGAGGGCGGAGGAGGAGGGGGCGGGGAGGAGGAGAGGGAGGGGGAGGAGGAGGAGGAGGAGGAGGAGGGGGAGGAGGAGGAGGAGGAGGAGGAGGAGGAGGAGGAGGAGGAGGAGGAGAAGGTCTCATCGTCCTCGTCCGGTTTATCTCTCCTGTCTTCCTGCCCTCCTTTTCCTCCGGTATGTTGGTTGCGCTTCTGTTGTTGTTTCTCTATCCCTTTGTCTCGCCCTCCCTTTCTCTCTCACTCTCTCGCTCTCCCTCTCTCTCTCTCTCTTTCTCTCGTTCTCCCTCTTCCTCTCGGTCTCCCTCTCTCTCTCTCGCTCTCCCTCGCTCTCCCTCTCTTTCTCTCTCGTTCTCCCTTTCCCTCTCCCTCTCGCTCTCCCTCTCTCTCCCCCTCTCTCTCTTCACCTCTCCCCCTCCCTCTCTCTGTCCCCTCTCTCTCTCTCTCTAGTCACCTCTCCCTCTCACTCTCTAGCTCTCTCTCTCTCTCTCTCTTTTTCTGTCTGTCGCTCTCTCTCTCTCTCTCTCTCTCTCCTTCTCCCACTCACTCGTGATCCTCCTCTCTATCCCCCCTCCTCATCCCTGTCCCATTCCCTCATGCCACTTCGTTCCTGGCTCCATCTTCCTGGCTCGACTTCCCTCCCTTCTCTCTCGTCGCCCCTCCCTCCCTCCCCCCCTCTCCCTCTCCCTCCCTCCCTCCCTGCCCCTTCCTGCTTCTTCTTCGCCCCCTCCCTCCCTCCCTCCCTCCCCCTCCTTGCCTCCCCCCCTCCCCTCGCCCCCCGCTCCTGCCCATGCCAGCGCAGGCCGACAAAGCCGCCTAGGCCTGCGCTGTGGCGCGAAAGGGGGGCCCGCCCAGAGGGCGCACACTGTCGGACGGCGCCGGCTGCGGGGCAGCGGGCGCCTCATTGGGAGGCCCCGCGCGCCCGGGGCGTGGCGGGAGGAGGAGGAGGAGGAGGAGGAGGAGGAGGAGGAGGAGGAGGAGGAGGAGGAGGCAGCGGAGGCGGAGGAGGAGGAGGAGGA